ATCCAATTCGCGACTTGATTACACTCGATAAGGGGTAGAAACACACTGCTTAACAACCGGTCAGATCATCAAATTGGAACTTTCAAACAAATGTTCAATTAGTATATTTTATAACAGAGGCAAAGCCGATTTTCGTACGCGCATCATTTCAAGCTAAGAAACAGAGAATAAGAGAAATAACTGAATAGAATATATAAAATTGTGAAAAAAAAGAGAAAACAGTCGCGTTACAAACAGTATTGAGTACGCGTTTGATTTTAGAAGCACCCACGAAGCCGAAACAAAATGGGTAGATGCAGATGGAGCCCGAACCAAAACATTTCGTAAGGAATTGTTGTCATTAAACAATTTTGAGCATTAAACTTCAGAACTTTTACAACAACAAACCAATTGAATTTTTCTAATAACCAAAATCAATTTTTGCAAACTCAAAATTAATTACAAAACACTTGCTCTCGCAAGTGTAATTAAGCCAATAGAATTTTAGCCGACGTAAATTAGGTTGAATCAGGTTTTAGCGCGAAAAAAAAACTGAAACAGGAAATACACAAAGTAGTCCGAATTACGCTTTTAGGCGAACAAAAAAAACATTTATGAAACAGATCAATGAATCAATTCAGGTAGCTCAAGAAGCACAAAAAATTGAAGACAAAAATTCTTGGATCGAAACTTTTTTCAAGCTCCTGTAAAGTATTGAAACTCTTGAAACTAAAGTATTGAAAAGTTCAAATCAGAAAATTCCTTGTTGTTGAAACATAGCCGAAAAATGACCAGAAAATTACTAGCCAGACAATTTTAGGCTCCTGAGTACTGGAATCCTCTACGTTTGTCGTCTCAAGCAGGTGCGTTAGTGCGAATCATACTTTTGGCGGGCAAAAGTAATAGCAGGAACATGAGATGCTAACAAAATAAGCTGATTAATTGTGAACGAAAACTTCAATGTAAAAAGTCAAGTACCCGGTTGCAAAAGCACTCGAACAGTAGAAGCAAAACTCCGAACACGTAGGTGAAGGGCTAGCTTGATACAATACACAGAGACGAAGAGAAGCGGATCTTCATACACCATATGATACCACATGAAAAAGCATTGCAAGCTAGCAAGCAACCAAAAAAATTAAAACATGGAAAACAAAACACAACTAAACCTTCAAGATTAAGTCGGCAATGATGGTCTATTAGTTATAACTCGTTCAGAAAAACAATAAACGGCGTTTAAATAATGAAAATCAAAAACACTTATCGAGTGTCACTGAGTCGAAAAAATTGTTGCCATGAAAGATTTTGAACTATAAGACTTCTAGCATTTTGTACGATCCAGAGCGGAGCATGAAGAAGTTTTCCTTGAAACGATTCAAAATTAGGTCACTAAGCCAAAAAAATTTAAGCCGAAATCATTTAGGCAGAATGTAAGTGAAAAAAACTTTAAAAGAAAAGTGCAAGTAAAATTGCAAGTAAATTATGCTATTGTAAAACAGCACAAGTTAATCAAACACTAAAAGCAACTATAATTGAGAACAGTAAAAAAAATTCTAATATGTGGCAACTAAGCCAGCAAAACAAGCAGACAAATAATAAGTCGACAATTCTTTTTGGAACGGAATTTATCCCGTTAGAAAAAAAAAACAGGTCCTGTCAGATTCGAATCCAGGACCTTAACCGTCCCAAGCGTATTCATTACTTCTAGACCAACTATGCCGGGAAAAACATTTAATTCATTAAGAATTGAACCTAAATTTACTATTTCTACCATTGACCATTCTCTGAACAAAATTATTCACAAACTGAAGCCAAATGAAAAATCAACGAAAGTAGGACACGATGTAACAAAATAATCAGAAAATGCTAAAGAATTGATTGATACTAACAAAACTGTAATTTTATTTTTCAAAAAGAACAATTTTGTGAAAATGACTTGATAAAGTGAATATAGGCAACAGACCAGAAACGCATTAAAACAGAGCAAAAAAATATTAACCTAAGTTTCAAAAGAACTTCATCTTTCGAATTTCCAAAACATATAAATGCCCTCGAAGCTCTTCAAAATAACAAGAAAATAAATGATTAACACATTTTGATAAAATTTAGCCAAATTGAGAAAACTGGTCCGTTAATCTGCTGTTCGAAAGTGGATTTTCCCTTCCTTTTAACAATTAAAATGAGCTCAACCTAAAAGAAAATGTCAAACCGCAAAAATTTTGTTACTTTATCCTGAAAAAGAACATAGCTGATCTATTTAAGTGTCGTTACTATGCTCATTAATACTTAAAAAGGAATATAATTCAACTTAAATCACCACAAATTCTCTCCAAAAATCATTTGATAATTACTAATGACTATAAACGCCATATTCAGAAACTAAATTGACAGAGACCAAAATCCAACGACAAAAAATATATATATATGTATATGTAAAATGGTTAGACCTAATTTTATCATTTACGGGGAGTTGAAACATTCTTTTGAAAAAAAAAAATGGAAAGCAAGCCGACAATTAATTCTCTCCTTGAAAAATTGAAAATATGATGCAACCCTAGTTCGAAATGTGTCCTGTTGAAGTCGCCCGAAAAAACGCGCATCTTTAGCGAAACCGTCAAAACAAAAACTTCAGGGTAAACAAATCTAACCTGTTCCATAAAACAGAAGCGAAGCTTCGCTACGCTAACACTAGCGAGACCACGACAAAAAGCAGCTTTATAAATTGCATGAAGAAAAACATGCTAGGGGGAGAACATATTGCTTAACAATCGCTCAGATCATCAAAAAATTGGACCTTAAAAACAAACGTTCAATTAGTATATTTTATTACAGAGGCAAAGCGGGCAATATCGCATATCGCAACGGAGACATTATCGCATAATTTGTGATACAAAGCACGCACAGCATCACAAACTAAGAAATAGAAAATAAGAGAAATAACAGAATTGAATAATTATTAATGTGAAAAAATGAGGAAAAAATCAAAAAAACAGCCGCACTACAGTAATAAATAGGCGTTTGATTTTACGAGCGCTCACTAAAACACAAATAGCTCAACAGACGCAGATGCAGCTGGAAACAAAAACATGTCATAAGAAATTATTGTCATTTTGAGCATTAAATTTTAGAACTTGTGCAATAACGAAGCAATTCAAATTTTCTAACCAAAAACTATTTTTGCAAAATCAAGATTAATTACAAAACACTTGCGCTCGCAAGTTTAATTAGGCCAATGGAATATTAGATAAAGCCAATTAGGGCGAATCAGGATTTAGAGCGGAAAAAATATATAAACACTCAAGGCTAGTAAAATTAAAAACTATAAGGACTACTCAAAAGATCTTGCTTCTATGATGAAAACAGCTGATAGCCCAAGAAAAGTCCGCGCTGTTAATACCTAAGCCGACAACACGTGGGTAGACGCCCATTGAGCCGAAAACTAAGGAATGCCAGAAGAAATTGTTATCAAAAACATTTTGAGCAACTCAGTTTTAAAACCTGCAATTTGAAATTTTGCAACAGGAACTACCTAAGCTTTTGAATAATTCCATCAATGTTTGCCATTGAAGCGACACAGATTAAAGCTATTCAGCCGATAAAAAGTTAGCCGAAACGATAGAAGAGAGTAAAGAAAAAACCAAAGATAATATACACAGAGCCGATACAAAACTGTAAGGCTATAATTACCAGCAAATTAAAAGACAAAATTTTTTTTTAAATCGTTTTTTTTTGTCAAAAAAAAGTTTTGAAAAAACGGCAAAAAGAACCAAAAAAAACTACTGAAACAAAATTATCAGCACCATAATTAACTGCATCTGCACCGGCTTGCATCTAAGCCGACAAACATTAGCAGACACGAAAGTCGAATTTTTAGTTTCGACACAAAAATAGGTCCCGACTGAAATCGAATTTCTGGGATTTGTCGTCACAAGCATGGATGTTACAACTACAGTAAATGCACAGAACACTCCCTGAATTTATAGAGAGGGCAACTTTCGAAGTCTTTTATTGTACAGCATGTAAACAAAAATCAAAAAATAGTAAAAATCGGCAAACTTCTTGGAGCCTAATTACTTGCCCAAAACCAGAATACACTGAAATGTTTTTCAATTAGAGTAAGAAAATGCCCAAATTTTAACGCGCAGACAATTTTCCGCTGACAAAAAAAAACAATTCTTGGCCGGATTCGAGCCACTGACCTGTGTCTTTATAGGCAGGCAGTTGCCTCAACTCTTAGCCACATGCTCGAAATAACGTTTGACTTCAAATGAACCAAAGGTAAAAATGATTCAAGTGATGCTGAACTAGTTGTTATCCCGAAAAAGGTCTATAATCCAGTTCGCCCGGGTTTGATACAGCTTACTAATAGCAAGCGTAACACCGAAGGGGTAATAATTTTACAAATTACAGGGGTAAACAAAAACACTTGCATCTATTATGAAAACTGCTGACCGCACTAGAAAGTTCGCTGATGTCGCAACTAAGCCGACAAAACATAAGCTGACAAACGAAAGTCCGACTATTCAATTTTTCCCGGATTTTGAGCAATTTCCGAGTTCTTTAAAATTAAAGATTCGTTGTTGATGAATCGATATTTCACTACCACATGTAGCTGACACACCAGTCTTTCCATGAACTGTAACAGAAAAAAGTCATTGTGTAGCATGGGCCATGTCAATCTGACATCGAAGAAATTCAATTCAGAACAAACGCGTACACTTTACACTCTTTAGACACCAAAGATTGTCTGAATTATGGTGAATTTACTTTATACAAAACCTTTTAACAAATCTCGCATGCATATTGTTTTCATGCAGCTTTAGCTTGAATTTCTTAAACGCATAATTTTTGCGGTTTGGAAACTGTATGTTTTTGTTAAGTTTCATTATTACTCGCTTGATTTATGATGACACTCCGTCGACATTGGCAAGCATTTGTCGTTTAGTTTATGTATACGAAGTCTTAACGTTCAAAATTATTATATATTTAAACAGCTACACAAATACCTCTGAGAAAACCAAATAGTTTGAAAAGCTTGTCAATTAGTGTTATGTAATTTTGAAATAGAATAATCCTAGGGTATATATACTCATATCTAAGCTAGCTAATATTATTGGATTCATTTATAAGTCAAGGCTCTTAAGTTTCGTAGATGCCAAATTCAAACTTCGGTTTCCATTGTGTCTTGCTTATGTCTGTACACTCCAATGTAGGCGTCTTGCACCAATCTCTTCAGCATTTCATCCTGCAAGGCGTGGCGTTCCACGTAATCAAGGCGTTCTGTTTCCGATTTAAAACCGCTCAAATGTTTCAGGTGACCTTCAATGGTCGGACATTCCCTCACTTCGGGAACATTTCTGTCCATGAATCTTCTGTTTTCAACTCTATCAGCCATGCTGTCGAAAAACAGCCAAGTCATTTTCCCGTCTGGTGAGTTAAGCTTTGTTCGTGCAAAGCTCACGTAATGACTGGTCTTTATGCAAATCACTGAGTCCAGAATGTATTTGAACCCATTCAGACTTTGTTCTCCGGTAGGAATTTCATCTTTGACGTGGTTCTTTCTGGATTTGTGTATAACATCAGAGCATTGTTCGCAGTACTGAATGATCGAGAAGTTTTCGCGAGCTCCCATCACTCTTTCAGATCTCGACAATGAACAACTCTTGCACCTCAATTTCGCCGCAGCAACAGAACAGATGGAACACTTTTGGGGAGAAGATAGGGAGATGTTTGATATGTCAATTTCAATCGGAAGAAAGATTCCAGGAAACACTTTCTCTTTGCCGAATCGTGGCAATTGTATCAAGAAGCATGTCGGATTCTGTCGAAAGAATTGTCCTTGAAGCACAAAAGACTGCGCCAGAATGTTCTGCACGCATGGAATGGACTTTTGCATTTTAGCGTAGGCTTCTTCGTTCTCAGGTTCCACGAACACTTGATACACGAACAGGTCTTGATCTTCTTCAAGCATGACGTTGCGAAGGTGCAACAATGGTGGATGACCATCTCCACCCACGAAATTTTTAGAGAATAGCACTGCTAGCAGTTCCTCTGCATCCTTCTCCTCCTTCGACACTCCAGGGAGAAACGTCTCCAGTTGCTTCCGCAGCCGCATGACATTTCCGGCAGGCACGAAACAGTTTTCACCCCTCAAAGGATTGACAATTAAGGTCAATAGATTATTCTGCATTTCAAACGCAGATGAATTGCGAATATCGACGTTTTTACATAAGTCTATTTTGCAAATCGAGTCCAGAGCATCAGAGAACAAGAAAAGCGAGTAGAACAAGCTGTCCATGTAACACGAATTATGATGTCCCTGGATGCCCTTCTTCTTTCCAATATGGACCTGCTGCACGGCGTACTGTCTGGCGGCTCTGGGGGTATTATCTCTGGATAAAGTGGTCGGCTCAAAAGACTCATCGCCACTTTCAGATTTTGCTACGACCACAAAACCAGGTCCAAAATCATTGTCTGTGTCAGCAAGAAAGAGCAAGAAATTTCGACTCACAATGAATGACTTTCCACCAATTTTTTGAAAGAAAGAATCGTCTAAACCCTTTATTTCATTCCTATCGATATCGCCTTCGAGTAAAGTGACTTGAGCTCGGTAATTTTCATGAAGACTATCTACAAGACACTGGAAAACCCCTTGTCCTGGAGCAAACAAACGGCAAATTGTCCCAACCCTCACTTCAGATGGACTGAATAGGGATCTGACAAAACTTTCTCTGAGCTGATAATATACAAATCCATTTCTCAAAATGCATTTTTGTAACCCATCAACATTCTGCTCATAATTAGGAGTAAACCGGATCATCTCATCCATCATCTGTACCTCGACGAATGACTCAGGCTCGAGAATATTTGTCACGATTGCGGGGAACTTTCGCTTCAGAGATGGAATGAAAACGTCGCATACATCTTGGATCTTCGGAACCTCAAAAAGGGCACCCGAAGAGTGTTTATGAAACTCAATGACTTGTACTTTTGCAACAGGGACAAACAAACACCGTTCTCTCAATGGTTTCTCAAGCCAGAGTTTACCATCATACGTTCCATCTCCAATTGTTTTGCAATGACATCGTCCAATGAGCTTCACACAAGCTGTGGCCCCGCCTTTTTTAGTGCTTATGATAGCAACAACAGTTCCATAGTGGTTCTTTTTTTCGCAAAAGAGTGTCATATATCCTTCTTCAATGTAGCAAAACTCTCCTTGCTTGAGATGAATTCCATGAGGCTTTAGGCTTTCGTAAGACGGGGACGGTACGCTTGAGTTGCTTTCTGGGTTGGGCGGGAGAGCGCGTGGAAATTCGGGTGTACGCGAGTTCAAGGTAGTTGTCTCCGGGTTGGGTGGGAGAGCACGTGGAAATTCAGGTGTACGCGAGTTAAATGTAGTTGTCTCCGAACTCAATTTAAGGCTTTCATATTTTGGGGAAGGCTCCGTTTCATGGTCTTCAAAATCAAACTTATCGGCTTGTTTGCGATTCTCCTCGCAGTTTGAATCTTTGACTTGGGAAGTGGCTGTTCGCCTCAGGAATAAATTTTTTATTCTGTACTGCGAATCGCCTTCACTGTGAAAGTGTCTAGAATCAACGCCTAAGCAAGCCTCCTTGATATTTCCATCAGCAAAGACAACTGAGCAAGAGCCATCATCCTTCTTCATAACAAACCCATTGAAAATACTGTGGTTGGGAACGTAAACTTCAATTTGGCTCGAATCATGTACGGGTTCACATCGAAAGACAAATCTAGCAAGCTTCTGGTGTATTTCAATACATAGACACTGTGAAGCTTTTTTTGGTATTATTTCGAGAAAATTCGATTTTTCTTCTGAAATTCGGCTGAACACTTCCGAGTTTAGAAAATTCATCTTTAACCTACCATTGTCTTTAGCATCTATGAAATATGCCAATTCTATCGCTTGAGTTTGTGGAATGAAAACTTGGCACACGTCTGAATGTTGCAAACTACGCCCATCAACTTCAGCAAAATCTACTAACTTCAAATAAACCTCAGGTATAAACAAGCAGCTTTTGACTTTTGCTCCATCTAAATAAAGTTTTCCCTTGAATGAGCCATCAGTTGCGCTAGCACAACTCATGCATGGCTCTATCAACTCAACGCCGACTAGAACTTCATCTGTGTCGCGTAACAAAGTGAAAATGTAGCCACAATGCTCCTCAAATAAGCAACTTTTGTCAGCAAAATAGGAGTCTTCAATCCAGCAGAACTTACCAATCAATGGGTTGTTTCGCTCCTCAGTAATGTATGTCTCTTTCTTCGACGGGTAGCCAGTGAGATCCACCATTTCAACGTCATTATCTAGCAATTGTGGAGTCGAGTCATTGCTTCCGTCAGATTCATTTTGAGATTTAATTTTTCTAACGATGATATTAGAGACATTTTTTTCGCCCTTCTTTAAACCATCCTGAATCGCCGTGTATAATTTTGAAGATAGCTGTGGTACATGAGAACAGTGAAAAAGCTTGACTGTATATCTTTTACTTTCAACACTTTTTACAATACCTTGGTGAATTCCACTTTCGAAGAAAAATATCTCGCATGAATCGTCTACTTGGCAGGGAGTACAGCGAAAAGCAAAAGCACACAAGCTCTTTGTTACGGTAATAGTATTATTCTCACAATGCAGAACCCCTCTGATGTTCCAAATTGCAGATGGCTGCTCACGTTCTGGTACTGCCACCAATTTTAATTTTGTTTTTGTGTCGTCTTCCAAGAACTTTTTTACTTCACCGTAAACAAAACGGTTGATCGTCGGAATATAGCACCAGGCTATGTCTCCTTCAATAAGCACACGATTGGAATCGGATCGCAGTCCTCCTATTTTCCTAACGACGACATGGGACACAAATATAGAAAATGGATCTTCAGGCACACAGCATCTAGATTTTCCGACCAGCTGAAAATGAACTTTCGAGGACATTTCTGTACATTTCTGAATAGATTGTACGAAACCTACGTGCGATTTCTTGCATTCACGACATGGGTCAATACGACAGAAATCACCAATATATATGATATCACCATTGGTTGCTTTGAAATTGTCGAACTGTACCCAAGGCTCCTGCTTCTCAACAGTGTTATATCTACCACCGAAAGGTGATCGATTGCGTTGTGCAACATCCGCATAAGAACGCTTGGAGCTACTCATCAGTTGTTAATATTCGGAACTATAACTGGCATTAACACATCGGGAAAATCTCGAGATCTGATTCTATACAATTTGGCAAAACTAGAGAACGAAATCCATCTGAAAACCTGCAAATGAGATAACTCCAATACCAGTGGACAAAAATGAACGCAATTTCAATTTTCGAAGAAAATTTAGAACATTTGCAAAAAAAAGATGGTCAGTTGCTCTGCAAGTAGCACAGAATGTTCCGACCACAAACAATAGATTTTTTTTTGTTTTTATTCAAATTGCCGTTTTTTGAGCGTGGTGAGATGATAGAACGAGGCAAAAGCCTAGAAAATTAGAAAAGTAAACACCTAGAATATTTCGCCGCCCTATATAAACACCTGTAATATTCACTATAAAAAAGCCTGTAACATTCGCCGAAAAATCACCCAGCAATGGAAAGTAGAGAAAGTCCCTATTGACGAATTGCTGACGTCAGATACCTTATTTCAACGGTTTCTCACCGTCTCGACCTAGCTAGTTGAAACTTAAAATGTTAATTCAAACCTTTTTGCACATTTTGTGCATCATCAGGATTATAAATTTTTTACAATATATACAAACTGGCATTAACACCGTGTATAATTAGCCTAATTGTTGTGATAAACTTATTAAATAGATTTCTTTGTTCAAATTTACCGCTTGTGTGTTTTCATATGATATGCGCGCTGGGCTTTCCTCTTCTGGTTATCTTACTAAATCTCGCCGTCCCAGCCGTAGGCGAGTGAAGTTTCCCTTGCGTAACTAGACGCAAGAAGGAGTGAGCTGGTGAATCGACCTCGAAATCGACGTCAGGTTGTACCACTCCATTCTTTTTTTTTCTTTTTTTTTCATCGCCTTTGCCTCAGCAATTTTAAACCCTAAGTGAAAGTATTCATAAATCACCCCAAGGAGCTTCCTTTCTCGCCCCAGTTGTCTGTGTTTCAGGTTGATGCCGCGATTCCAGGCAAGACGCATCCCTGAGTTCTCACAGAAACTAGTTATCGGGACTTCAAGGACCAAATATATCAAACCAGCAGTAGTAAAATAAACAATTCACTCCTACCGCGGCGCAACGCTTCATGATCTGTTTGAAACAGTTTTACAATACAGACCAAAGCGCCTAAATACAGTAACAATAGTTGCTGGATACAATGACTACAGGCTGCATCCACAAGAATTAGAACAGCAGTGGAAAAACTTGATTAACCTCGTCACTAACAAGTTTCAGCCCAAGACACTGATCATCCCCAAGACAATTCAGAACTGTAATAATTCCGAAGTAAACCGCAAAATTTATATTCATAATCATGTGCTGTTTAATTTGATAAATAGATTTGTACACCCCCATACTTTTATTGTTTCGCCTAACCTCAACCTAAATCTAACCCCTCAAATGTTCTGCCGTGATGGCATCCATTTCTCGTTCTACGATAATGATTTCTTTACAAATTTTCTTGCAAATTTAATCTATAGATTCTCTCGCTAACTTGACACCGCCGTCCTTCCTAAAATGGCTACGCAAACACACTGCCTTATTTGTAAAAGCAGCCTGCGAGGCGGAGGTCTTTGGTGCTTCACATGCCCAGGCTACATGCATGTAAAATGCAGCGGCCTAGCCCGCAGCAGTGATCACAATGACGATTTCAGTTGTCATCGCTGCACCTCCCAATTTCATTCAGCTAACGACAAGCATGAATGCAATCCCCCAACCCTAGCTACAACCACGCTCCCCCAAATGCACCCTCACCCTTCCACTGCCCCACACTCACAAAACTCAGGAGAGTCTTCCACTATAGAACCCAGAACAATACAAGACCCATGGTCAAACCCCTGTCCAGAACTAATTGAAACCACCAGGAAAATATACACCGAAGTGGTCCACTGGAAACCGGTCTTTATGATCTTGTCAAAAAATGAAGTTGGTTATAACTTTATTGAAACCCTCAATAGAACTTTGAACAGCCTAATAGAAAACAACAAAAATACCTTCGCAATGCACGCAGCAATGATTTTTCCACACTTATTACTGTGCAAACAAAGTCCGAAATTGATGGATCTTTATCCAAAACAATAGCAAGGCGACTTAAGCAATGGCAAGACGGAGACCTGGATGGACTATATAACTAAGGAAAGGCGCTGCAAATGCGCTCGTTGAAAGGAAGTAGAAGAAAAATTGAAACTGAAGCACAACAGTTCAACAAACTAATGAACACTGGAAAAATATCAAGCGCAATTGCAAAACTAACAGACACATCTAAAGGCGTTCTTTCGCTCGACGAGATTGTCAAAGGTAAGACAGTTGAACAGACTCTCATAGAGAAACACCCACCATCTCAACCAATTAATGAGAACTATATTACACCAGTCTCAAACGAAACAATTCCTTTCCATCCATCGATATTTGATCAGATAAACGGTCAACATATCAAGAAGGCAGCCATGAGAACGCACGGATCGCATGGACCATCTGGCCTCGATGCGAATGAAAGGAGACGTATTCTAACACACTTCGGGCAACAATCAGTTGAAATTTCAAAAACAATTGCTTAAATTGCCAAAAAATTGGCCACAGAAGAACTAAATCCAGAACTAATGGAACCATATAACGCATGCAGATTAATACCCTTAGATAAGAATCCAGGGGTAAGACGCATAGGCATAGGAGAAGTTATGCGTAGGATAATAGGGCGAACAATAACTAAATGCCTAAAAAACGAACTCATGTCGCTCGGTTCAAACTACCAACTCTGCCTAGGACAAAAATGTGGCATTGAATATGCGATCCACACGCTAAGAGATCAATACAGCAAAACTTCCGCCGATGCTGTTTTACTGATAGATGCCGAAAACGCTTTCAACTCGCTAAACCGAAAGCTGGCATTAAAAAACATCGAAAATACCTGCCCTTCCCTTTTAGAAGCAATTAAGAACTCCTACTCTAATCCATCTAAACTATTCGTTAAAAAAAAACAATCTACTCTCAAGAAGGGAAAACCCAGGGGGATCCACTAGCAATGGCCATGTACGGTCTAGCCATAATACCCTCATAAAACTCTTATCAGTAGACGATGTAACCCAGAAATGGTACGCAGACGACGGAAACGCAGTCGGTAAATTAAGCAATCTACGAACCGTCCTTTATAAAATTGTATCACTGGGTAAATTTTTCGGCTACCACGTGAAAGCATCCAAATGCCAACTCATTGTCAAAGATGAAAAACTCGGTGAAGCTCAGAAAATTTTCGCAAATACAGGAACCACTATAAAGGCAGGAGCCCGAGTGCTTGTTTCAGTTATAGGAACAGAATCTGAATGTAAAAAGTTCTTCGAATTTCAACAGAATGAGCAAATCAAAATTTTGAAAAAACTAACCAAAATTGCTAAAACCTCCCCTCAAAACGTTTATGCCTGCTATACTAAAGGAGTTCAAGAAAAGCTTTCAGTTCTTGCCAGGACAACGCCTAACACTATAGAAAACTTAGAAATATGTGAAAATATTATCGAAGAACAATTATTACCTAACCTAGTCGGTAAAGACACTTTAAACCCCCAGTTCCGTGAGATCTCTTCTTTACCCCTTAAAATGGGCGGACTTAACATCAAGCTGCCATCCGATCATGAAAGCTACCTAGAATGGTCTAAGGAAACATCACTGGTACTGGAATCTCAAGATCCTATTACAGCAGTAACACAGCAAGAAAAAATATGAACGCTGATAGAACAAATCGAAAAAAGACAAACCTCATTAACTCCTTAAATGAAACAGATAAATACGCAATCGACCTGGCCTCTGAAAAGGGAGCTTCTAACTGGCTCAATGCTCTACCACTGAGCAGATACAACTTCAACCTGAATAAATCAGAGTTCAGAGATGGTATTTACTTAAGATACGGATGGGAACCAACCAAAACCCCACTCATATGTGCATGTGGTGCTGATTTTAACTTGACACATGCGCTTCACTGTGCAAAGGGTAGTTACACACACATAAGACACAATGAAATCAGAGACACAATCGCCAACCTCATGAACGAGGTTTGCCATGACGTCGAGATTGAGCCAAAACTTCAGCCGTTGCAAGGCGAAAGCTTTGTCAACAATTCAACTACAACTGAAGATGAGGCACGACTTGACATTAAGGCAAACGGAATCTGGGGTTCACGATTCAGCCGCGCTTTCTTTGATGTGAAAATTTTCAACCCCCATGCCAAAACATCGCGAAAACTGCAGAAGGATGCATACAAATACCACGAAACGCTGAAGAACTCCAAATATCAGCAAAGAATTTTATACGTAGAGCAGAGTAGCTTCTGCCCGCTAGTTTTTGGATGCACCGGTGGCGCTACTCCAACAGCCATGCGGACGATGCAGCGATTGGCCGAAAAACTAAGTGAAAAAAGACAAGAAAGCTATCCAGAATCTATAAACTACATAGGAACTAAAATAAGCTTCGCGCTCCTGAGGATCTCTATACTTTGTATAAGGGGGTGCAGATCGCTACGAAAAGTTCAATTTATTGACAACTCCATAAGCGCTATTGTAGAGGAAGGACGGCTAAGATAAATAAACATTATGACGATGCATTTAATGCTGATTTATGACTTCACTGCTGTTTTATATGCATTTTTATATCGCTGGTATGGCCATATATACAAAACAATCAAAGATCTGAAAAATTAAAAACACGTCTGAAAATGGTCTAATTTTTTTTGACCAATCAAAATTAAATAACCGTAATTAAATAACAAATTACGTAATCAATAATAACATTTTCCTGGAAATTTCTGAGATTTTTGAAGTTTTTTGTTCTTTCATGGTTATAACATTTCAATTTGGGAAAATTTTTGTATCTGGCATGTTAGTTTTTTAATTTTTAGCCATGTTATACATAGACTATATTTTTAGTGTTAATTAATTCGTACACTAATGTCCCGCTCAAGGAAGCTGTTGAAATAGCCCTGAGATTTTATGAGCAAGTCAATCCTCCGGAAATATCTCGCAAGACTATGAAAAAACTACCGAATTGGTGAGTAAGGTACACATTAAATGCAATGGTTTGTGGTATGTACAAGAAGACGGTTTAGCAATGGGCAC